TGTCAGTGCAAAAAGCACAAATCCTGCGGCTATCAATGTAAAGTGGATTTGAGGAGCACGAGGTAATGGATGTGGCACATTAGAGCTCTTAAAAATTACATTTACTAACATTTATCTTGCATTTTTTATGCGCATGTAACCGAAAAAGATACTGAAACTGAAAAGGAAACCGAAAAATGAATGAAAGACGGAGAAAAAAAAATGTTAAACGCTGTGCACCCGAAGCAAATGCAAGTAAAAAATGAAGCAGAAAAACAATTTGATTTAGCTGCAAGCAAATATTAAATGCACGTTGGGTTTGTGTCCGCTTTTGTGTGTGAGTCCGGTGCTCGTTGGGGTTCACGAAACAACATCAAAATCAACGAGAACTGCGGCAAATGGTAAGCGACAGAGCCGACAAACAACAGAGGATGGTGTTTTTTTTTTTGACGGCAGCTTCACTAAATACCCTCGCAAGTTGAACGCTCCTATTAAAGTTTTTATTCGGCAGAAAAGAATCATTTGTTGATTTAATTTAGATTATCTTACATAATATACATATATATGCTTAACTATTTGTTAACATTGATTGACTTAATATCAGCAACATATTAGGACTTTTGCCATGTATTGTATTGTATTGTTTATTAGAATATTTCTTATTCTTAGCTTGGGCTACAAACGTATTTAAAATTAACGAAGAGAGATGCTGATGCTCATGAGAAGAGAACCACCGCATCAGCATTGGTGCTCGTGGACTCTGTGTTTGTTGGGAAAATACATGATCAGCATTTTGGCAGTTGTTGCTGTGTAAAAGTAATATTTAACATAAACAATTGGGGCTTATGTCGCTTAATATGCTTTTATGTACACACACCACATTCATATATTTTATATTTGGCAGCAACTTTTCTTCGTTTCAAAATATGTCAAAGTCATAATACCCTATACAAGGGTGTACCCTTGATAGCGTCTCATAGCTGCGGAGGGTTCGGGGTGTGGGTTCAGCCCGCGAACTATAGTCATGCTGACAGGCAGCGGAAAGGACATTTGTAACGATAACATTCGTTTCTATTTCAGAAACCCAACGGCATTGTGTGTGGTGTGTGTGTGTGTGTGTGTGTGTGGAAAGGGATGGGCGCGGGGCTGTTCGTATGTGTGACCATTAATTTTGAGCGCGTTTAACATGAAAACTACATGGCAAAACTGATTTGGTGCATCCAGCAGAATACACAGCTACATACTACAGCTACAGGCGGACACACACATAGACACATGCGGAGTTTGGACATAGAACGAATGGCAGATAGTTCATGCCCGCGAGCCAACAATGAAACAGTTATACTATAAATAAGTACGCGAGAGGGGTTGGCTGGGGTGGGGAGGGGGGAATGAAAGAAATGGCAAACCGAATGTAATGGGAAAAGCGCAAAAAGCGGGTCAGTGCGCACAAAATGCCAGCAATGATGATGATGGCGGATGCCACTGCCGCCGCCGTAGCCATGAAGTGTGGCAGCAGCAACGGCAGCAACGGCAGCAGCGGCAGTGGCAGCGGAAACTGACGAAAGCACAGAATAAAATGCTGATATTGCCCAAGCCGTACATCAAGAGGCATGCCAGCGATATGGTCGGAGCAGAACAGCACCAGGGAGGCGTTTCGTTCGGAGTGGTGTATTTCACGCAAAATGAAACAAATAAAGGCAGAAATGGAAAAATTACAAAAAAAACAAAATGCGAGCAGACAAAATAATATGGTACAACGAGCAGCACGGGGCACGTTGCTTGTTGCTGTATTACTCCACTGGCATGGCGTACGCGGCGTATGCGTATTGTGAAAAATAAATAACAGCGCTTAAGAGTATGCTACCGAAAACAAGCCTGAAAATATGTACGCGCCACAACAACTGCAATGGAAATATTTCCGCACAGACCCATACTCTTTCATTCTCATACACAGACACTCACACGCATGCACACACTCATGCAAACACTCCCATAAAACAAACACTGTGGCGGCGGCTTGTTTTAATTTCGCACCTTGGACAGGCTGCTGTGATGAACTATGAATATGCTTAGATTTTAGTTATGAGATCATTACCTGTTGATTGGGGCCCAGGAGAAAATGCCATCGCATGCACCTAGGCGCGAGGCATTGCTGCACAAAAGCAGAGAAGCCCCCAATTGAACATAAAGCAATGTGTGGTCGCATCTATCCACAGGCAATTAGGTCAGATGTGGGCTTGTGCCAGGCCGACATTCCAAATGACAGGAGGCCTATTTGTCCAGAGCAGAGCAGAGCACTGGGACACCGGTTCTCGGTTTGTCCTTCTGCCTCATCCGTTGCACAAATGGCGCCCCAAATGAGCGACTTCGGAGCACATATTCAGAGCACACACTGCACACTGCTGCAAATGTCATTGTCAACTAGCTGGCTTTTTCTGCTGCTGAAGGATAGGAACAGTCACCTGGACAGCAACCAGGCGAGGACAGCGTGTTTCTCCTTGACAGGCAGTCGATAAACAGCTTTCGATGGCATCCTATGGCATCCTATGGCAACTCCTATGCTCCTATGCAGCTGCCACACATTCATCTCCTGTGCCATTTCCACCAACAATGTCAATTACCAGCGCCTGAACACGTCGAGCCTCATGCCGAATTACCACTTCTGTCTTGTCGATGCTTTCACCTCCATTTTTTGTTTGGCGCCCTTCCATTTTAAAGTGCTATGTAAATTCGGACCAAAAATTCCTGACCTTACCTTGCTTTCAACTGATTTGGCCCTTTACTCTCCGTTCTCGTTCTTCTAGTTTCCATTTCCATTTCCTTTTTCGTATTCGTTTCTCTCTCTTCGCATTATTTTTTCGAGCCATCCGCTTTTAACGAAAGCTCCTGCCATTCATTCACTTTGCGATTGAGTCCTGGCCCAATTTTCGTGTGTTTGTGTGTGTGTATTTGTGTGGTTGTTTAACTTGAGGCCAGTTTGTGGCCAGCCAGGTCTGTGTGCGAGTCATTTGCTTTTTTTTTGGTATGTTAAGAGCTGGCTTACGTAGTTAGTAGGGCCGTCGTCAAATCCTTAGTCGAGTGCAGTCCTAGAATTAATCGCAAACCTTCATTGATTTGTTTGTTGTTGCATTTTTAAACCCTTAAAAGTGACTCGACCTAAGTTATTACATTTCAGACCATTCAGTCTGCATAAATCATTTCACTTACGAGACCCATTTTTTTGGCTTACATTTGCCCGATGCTGTGCCTTCCTTGAAATATATTTTCGTTTTCCTGTGTCCTTTTTGGGAAGTGGACTCATATTGCGAATTCTTTGCATACAGAGTTATCATTTATTGCATTGTGCTGTGCATCCGATATTTTCCTTTATTATTACGCTCGTTGCGTTCTTTTTGCAACGGAACTGAGGAATCGTCAAATATGTATACTCGTATAGAGCTATCTGGCCGTATCGTGCAGTGCACCGCCTTGGCTGCTCGACAAATGTAAATATTTTCCAGGCAAAAAAAGGGACGAACGAAAAATAAATACCTGCTCATATCATGAATAAGCGCATATTTGCATGCGAATTGTATAACTGCTTGCACATTGCCTGATAACCTGACATATTTGCGGAGATGTTCAAAGGAAGAACGGCAACCAAAAAAAAACCAGCGAACCAAACAATCAATCAATTGCTATAACATTCAGTGGGTGAAAATCGAATAATTAATGTTGAGTATTTATATAAAGACCTGTGGCCAGTAAAGCCCAATTTGGAAGCGCATTATCTGCGAATCCGAGATTTGCCATGGACAAACTCGACTAGCCGCAACCGTTGGTGTAACCGAATCACAGCCGGTTCGTTCTGGAGCCAAGCTGAAATTGATTTGAGTTAAATAACTCCAGGATTAGTCAGCTGCCAGCGCAACTAAGTGGATTACGCAGCTTAACCGAACTCCATTCGAATTAAAAACCAATTACGGATGCAATGGGAACGGTCACCGAAACATAAAACGAAAAAAGGATGGCTAAACTAACACGTATCTTGATAAATTGTTTGTGTGTGTGTTGTTACCAACAGCAAACAAAAAAGAGTTCTGGCCTGCGAACTAAATTAACCAGAAGATGAACTAAAGCCTGCCAAAGAAAGGCTCAGGCTCAACTTTTCGCATTAAGCTGCCCACGCCGGAAGGAGAAAGTAATGCGCCCCATTTGAATGCCAGCCACGTTTCAAATGATGTGAAAACAGGGCCCACAAACTGACGGACAGGCAGATAGTCCTACATGTAACAGATGAATGGCCGTTGCCGTCGCCTGTCCCTCTTCTAAGCTGATGCTAAATACCTCCGCCTCTGCCCACACCACACAATCAGAGGAACAAGTGAGTGCGTTTTATTCAATTATACCGTTCTGACAATACCTGGTACTAAGTTGCATATATAACAAACGGTTACTGATTAAAATAATAGAATGTGAAAGGTGCAAGTTGCAGTACAAATTTAAACTATCGACTGTAAGATCAACTCGTCTACTATTGATCTTTAGGAATAGCATACATTGGATTGTATTTCAATGTTTTATTTGGAATCTGGCTGTCCAGCTGGCCACGAATACAGTATACCCTTGTGCGCATGTACTTTGAGTAGTAGGTATAAATACTCGAAGCACGTGTCAAAAATCTCACCAGGAGCTGGCTTGCTTAATACAAATATGAAGCACTGGGGCAAAGTTGATGATTTTGAAGAGATACATAATGTGCGTGGAGAGGGGCAGGGTACAGAATCAAAAAACGCAAAACGCTTAAAGTTTAAGTGTAATTGAAAACGACAAACTCAGACAGGAAGCTGGCTAAGAGCATGTTGTCGAGGGAGTGGAGGATGTAACCCAGCCACAGACCGAGCATTAATTTAACTTTATGTGGTCTTCTCTCTCGGCTAAACTTGGGGCCAAAGTTTGCAAATTTATATATCATATGATACATAGCAGTTCATAAGCTGAAGCCAGAGAGGAGCAGAGGGGAGCTGGGCTTTGATTCAACTGTCGATTGATAGGAAATGTTTCTCTAAGACGGGGTTTTATATATATATATTTTTTTTTAAATTAATTAGTTCACGATCGCAGATTAAATTTAAATTTTTGTACGGAAGTTCGTTGCTCAGTTAGTTAGATCCCTATGCTATGTCTGTGTGCGGTGAATCGTGGCGCTTGTTCAGGACCCGCGACATTTACAAGGTATTGGACGTGCCACGCTGGGCCATGCCGAGGGAGATACGCAGCGCTGCCTATCAGCTGATCATGAAGGAGCACCCGAATCAGAGGGCTGCCAACCAACCCCAGAGAGCTCTGGACAGATGCAAGCTGGTCTTCAGGATTATGAGCATCCTGACCAACGACAAACAGCGGGCTCTCTACGATTCCCCATCCGAGTTCCCCCAGGAAAGGGCCAGCAGTGAGTTGAACCTGGCCTTCTCCACGGTATTATCCCTGTGCGGGTGGCTAATAAAAGACTCCCAGGATCAGTCGGGTGTCAACGCGGTCTTTCGGAACAACTACAAAGGGTCGCACCTGGAATTGCTAGACATCAAGGCTGCCTACACGCTGGGCAAGGGATGTATGGATCGTTTGATTATCGAACTGCCTCTGATGACGGTTAAGGATGAGCCACGCATTCGGAAGATCATCAAGAAGCTGACCAAGTCCAAGGAGCTGCCTGTGTACAGTAAATTCATCAACGAATCCTTGGAAAAACGGCGCCGCCGCCGCTTGAAGTTTGCTGTCTACGACTCGTACGAGGAGCAGTCCCAGTCCAAGTCCAATCCGAACTCGTTTGAGTTGTAAGGGAAGTTGCCTGGAAGCATACACATCCAGAGTTATGGCAATGTTCAGGGGGAAGCCCAAGACGCAACTGAAGCATTTATTTTAAAATTTAAGTTACTTCACAGTTTATTTTATATGAAAATTAGAGACACGTTGGTCCAAGTTCAGGTTCTGGTTTCAACCAAAACTGCAACCAAAGTGCAGTTCGTGTTTAAAATGCAAATCATACTTACCTTTGAGTTTCGGGTAACAAGCTTAAAGACGACATTTTGTTTGGCACTTCTTCTTCGTCGTGTCTTTTGTCCCGAAAATCATAAATAATGGAGGCCAAAAGGAAAATGGAAACTTTGGGGAAAGTTGAGTTTAGAGTTACCTTTCTGGTGACCTTTTTTCTGCCCTTATCGTGCCACATTATTTGCGGCTTTATTTATGTGAAAAGTTGTACAATTAATATTTGTTTTTTACTGCAAAACAGAAATAATTATTGCCAGTGCCGTTGTCCCGTCGAATACAACAATAATTATTTCCTTGTATGGCAGCACAAGGACCGGGGGGAGGCAGTACAGAAGCGACAAATGCAAAAGGAAGTGAAACTTTCTCTCTCTCTGCTGCACCGTCTCTAATTTGCATGCCAGAGCACAATTAGGAGCGACAAAAACACCGAGCGGAGCACCGACTTATTTCAACTGCTGTCGAAGACATCGCAGGACCGTCCTTGGCCCTCGCCTTTAGTATTTGAGATTTTACAATTTTCTTGGCAATTTTCAGAGTTGAATTTTGTATCAGTTTAATTAACTATGTATTTGTCAGCTTGTCAGCTTTTGAATGCTTCAGGTATACCGGAAAATCCATTATTAATCCGGGCATCTGAATGACAGTTTTCATTAACACACATAAGTACGCATTCAAAGACAGTTATCTGAAGAACAGTTGCGCTTTTGAAATATTTATTTAATGTGCACGTATAAATATTTAGCAAAATGGGAAATGGTGAATCATGACATACGTGGGTACATCGAATTGAATCAAATCTAAAATCAATACATCAAATTATTTATCATTTTTTTTCAATACGAGTAAGTTGCATCGTTTCTCTTGACTTAAAATCATTTTCTGGATTTATTTGCATTGTCTGTGGCATTCATAGAAATGATATGTAAACCAGAACTGTTGCTCTTTATATATGAACACTGCACTCGATTCAAACTTGTTTGGCATGTGTGCAAAGTTTTGTGCAAGTTCTGGCTGTGACGTAGGACAAACTTCTGCATGTGCATCGTGCATCAGGCAGAATTTCCTTTGTAGTCTGCTCGTATTTTGTTATACTCGTACACGGTACTGGAGTAGCACGGGGTATACTGCAATGGTTAAAATGTACGCCAAAGAAGAGAGAAAACGTAAGGCATAAACGACTTTGTGCATTCGTGTGGATTTTGGAAATTACAGGACCAACCATGAAAGGTGTGAAGTTTAAGCTCCTAAATTCCCACATTGCTGCTATACTGCTGTGTGCATTTCCCGATTTGCAGGTATTTAATAGTCGCAATTCCGATCAAATCGTTCATCCGAGTACTTGCTTATTTTTTCTCGGAAATCCAAGGGAAATTTTACTCGGATTTCGTTTTTTCCGGATTACGATGGCTTTGAATGTAGCATTTTGATTCAATTTCAAAATGTTCCAATTAACTGCCTTTTCCCTGCAGACCAGACGTATGGCACATATGTACATACATACATATGTACATATGAAATTCATCAAATCAGGATCCAGTCACATCAGAAGGCAGGCAGTCATAAAACATGAGTACGACTTATTCGGATTGGCGCACGGATACATGGGGATTTTAATAAATGTCAGGTCTGGCCGTTGCTTGTGGTGAGAGTGATTGATTTATGTCACAATATTTTGCTGGCACTCTTCCAGTCTGACCCCTGACCTCTCCATATATACCAGCTCGGTGACAAATCAACAGGCCATGTGCTTGTCCTTGGACCCGTCGCGACGGAGTGTGGCAAACATGGTGCAAATTAATATCCAAGCATCGGTAGAAGTTTCGTACAAGGGGATTGCAGTAGATTTTGTGGTTCTGGGAAGCGAGCTTGCATTTAAATTTAGCTTCTGCTGCATTTGTCAGTCGAAAATCGTGAAATTCGATTTGGGTTCCTTTCAATTTGCGGTTGAACTTTTATTCACCACCCCCGGTTCACCACAGCCTCTACATCCCACTATTTGCACTGAGATCTCGCTCGCAAAAAGGCCAACTGTCAAACCATTGCAAAATCTTCGAGCCAACTGTCATAAATGTCGACATCATTAAAATGTCATAAAGTTGCCATTTCACCCGCCAAAGCATCTTAGCCCCGAACTGTCAATCCACCCAACCATTCAATGGACCACCCACCCACACAGCCAACAACCCAACCCAACCAAGCTACCACCCATCCATACAGACGCTGCTGCTGCGGGACACGGAGGAGCCGCTCGGTGAAATGTGCAAAAATTTCGCACACTTCCGTTACATTTCGCATCCTTTCTGGCTGTTTATTTTTCGGCGGCGCTTCCTTTAGACAAACCGCAACGGATGCACCGCCGTGCACTATCCACGGCTGCTGGCTTTCAGCGCTCCTTGGTGGCATCTTCCTCTGCCGCATTCGGAGCAAAGTAAAAACGAAATGACAAAACAAATGGCACAAACTGTTTCGCCTTAAAGAATTCTCGGGAATGCGGAAAGTTCATGAAAATTTGATTTTATTTAAATTGTTTCCTCCCCTGCTACAAATTGCCATTTAATGGTAAGACGACATGTCCATAAACGTCCCAATTGATAGCGGCAAGTGGAGCATACTTTTGGGTTATTTTATATGCATTAATCATACGCAGTGGTGCTGCAATCGAAACAAATACAAACGAAAGTAAATACCAATTGGGCCAAATAAATCGAGATAAATCCATAAAATCATATTGGATTGTTGTGCTCAACGCTCAGCCCAAAGCCATTAAAATATATTTCAGGGCAATCGTTTTGAAGGCTAATTAAGTGCGGGCATTACCCCAAGCTGGTAGAGTGTGGGACTCGGCTAACGGCCTGCTAATTAATGAGCCGCAACAAGCTAACACACAAGCACATACACGAGTACAGACAAAGAGGGGCTGGTTGGAGGTGTGGCAGTAATGTTAAATTAAAGTTCAATTGACCAGAGCCTTGGCAGAGGTCGTTAATTTTGCCCTTAATCGCCATTATGGCTGGATGGTTTTGTTTGTGGAATGCTCCCCGAGCAAGAATCATTGGAGAGTGCTCGCCTCGGTCTCAGTCCTCTTAAATGACTCCTCGCTTCTCTTGGATGACTCTCTCTTTCTCGTCCAGGGTGACTCCTCCTGCTCCTCTTCTGACTCGTTCACGCACTCGAAAAGGCCGTGGAACTGCACATCTTTGTAGTGCCACATCATGACTGCGGCCCCAATCAAAAGCAAAATCAATAGAATGAAGTTATCCCGGGCCACCTCCACCTCGATGCCCCAGAGGTATTCGAGCAGCTTAGCGGAGCAGCCGCTGCAGACATCTGCCCCACAGCAGGCGCCACTGGCCCAGTTGCGTGTCTCGGCTGATATCTGGTAATCGATCAGGCCCGATTGGCCGCAGCAGCCGAGCTCCTCCTCCAGCTTCCCAATCTTTTTATTCCTCCAGAGCAGCAGAACCATCATCTTGGCGGAGAGCTCGAATCGTGATCGATACATAAATCGCGACGCCGCTATGCTGAGTGTGTACAGCAGCAGAAATAGGCTGATTAACATGTAGCCGGCAAACTTCAACAAGCTCGGCCGCCGGGCCATGCGGATGCCCAGGATGGCGTTCAGGATGTACCCCCCCATAGTGAGAAATCGCATTAGGAACATCCAGGCCATCAGAGCGCCCGGGAAGGTGGTGGCGTCGCTGAGCAGTGTGTGCTTCACATACATGTGGTTAAACACATCCATCAGGAAGATTAGCCCGGCCAGGAGCAATACCACATTGATCTGCAGCACAGAGTCGTCCGATATGCGACACCGACGGCGCCATTTGCCCATGCTCCAGAAAATTTGATTCTGTTTATTTGCTTTGAAGTGAAACGAGCTCGTTTTGAAGTTGACCTGGAAGCCACCTGAGTTTGAGTTGGTGTTGGCTGGCTAATATCAACATTTGGCTAGCTGTCACTTCATTCGGGTGCCGATGCTGATGCCTGGCTCCGACTCCTGCCCCTGACTTGTTGCCACGGTTTCAAGTGCAAATGAGTTTGCGTTGACGAACCTGAAATGCCGCACCTGTTGCGATCCGCACCGCAATAAAAACAGCCAGATGAAATTAAATATTTGTGCGGTGGCTTGAATCAACCTTTCGCTGATTGCTCATACGCACTGTGGGAATGGAAGGCTCGGGCTCTGGCTAGGATATTTAAAACCCAGCATGTACTCAAATAAAAACGACGTTTGCTCACTCGTATTTGAAAAATGCTTTGATGCTGAAGCCCCAATCTGTTGACACTTGTCTGAACAGCGTCGGGTCTCGCAAAAAAATTCCCTAAATAAAAGTTCAAGTACAGACACCAGCTGCAAAGTGGGGAAAATTACAAAGCTGATAGAAAAAAAAATTTTTTTTTTGAAATTTTAAGTTTCAAATCGGTTCTTTTTACGCTATCCATTTCCAAACCGTCAAGTAATTTTCGTTGTTATTTTTGTATATTTTTAGCTAGAAAACCCCAACTGGCACCTCCAGTTAAAAGAAGAGATTTATATATACTAAGCCGTTTTATGATTTATTTACTTATTTATTTAAGGCATATGTTGGAAGTTTTACCCACTGTGCGCTCGGGCGTGCCCCTCCATCTCGTTGCAGTGACTTGGTGCTCTTCACGCGCCGTCGCCCATTGGCCGACGGCCCAAGTCGAGATGTGCGGCGGAAGTGTCGTTAGCGCCATTTTGGCTTTATTTACTGGTAAATTTGTGCACAAATTTTCGCCTGGTGTGAGCAGTATTGGCTAATGTGGCTAATTTAGAGGAAGCTCCAGACACTCTCAGCTGCCGGGTAATGCAGCCTTCGATTTTAGCAGCTGTCAATTGAGCTAAGGCATTTAATTAAAAAGTTTTTCCAAGTTCAAGTCCAATTTACCCTTTGTGGCGGGTCAGACACTGTCGCTGTTGGCTAATTAAATGAGCCAACTGCAGCTGGGGCGCTTGTCACAATTTGGATCCAAAGTTGACTTGACTTGGAAATGACAACGCATTTACACCTGTTCCGGCCATAAATTCGTGCTTCCAGAACAAGGCCTTGTGGATAATAATAGAAATTTCACTTGTCGCGAGTCGCTCCTCCATCTTTGCTAAAAAGAAAATTACAATAAGCTTTAAGGGCTAATTGAATACTAAATAAAGTAATTTATATTACCTGTGCGTTTAAATAAGGCATTAAATGTTAAATTTTAGCTTCTTAGCTTTAATTAACTTCACAGGCTTCCACCTATTGTTAAACTATTCAAAGATAGTATCCCTCTGATAGTACTAGACTGTCGTTGGCTTTTGATAGCCGCTTGATGAAGGTGCACGGAAAATCCCAATTGAAAACTGCACTTTGATGAGCCTCCTGCTTGGCATATTAAATTTTAACTGTTACACCCCGCTTTGTGAATTGCTGAAGCCCGATGCTCGTCGACCAGAATACGTCCATAATTTATTTATATGAAAATGTAATGCAATATGTAAGCGCTATCACCTTAATTTGACGGTTTACTGAAGAGTTTGAGCGTTGAGGGTGCAGAGACTTCGGTGCAGCAGGTCCTGCCCGAGGTGCTGAACAACTGTTACCCTAACCCTAATTGATTCCGGTTGACGAGTTCGCACGTCTGGCTCATAAATTTCGCATGTCAGGCGATTGATGAGTTTATAATTACTCCACGGCTGGGCATATAAAAGCCGAACGTCTTCAGTCTACAATCAAAACAATCAAAACTCGTGTGAAGTCAGGATGGCACTGCGTAAAATTTTCCGGGCCTTGTTCACGCCATCGGAGGAAGCACCGGCCTGCTCTCGGAATGCGAGTCTCTACTTTCTGCGCTGCATCTTTCTAATGGGGATGCGAAAGCCACCGGCTCGATTCTTCATAGCCTACTGTCTATGGTCCTTTGCCCTGAACCTCAGCTCAACGGTCTACCAGCCCATCGGCTTTCTCACCGGCTACTTCAGCCATTTGTCTGAGTTCTCTCCGGGGGAGTTCCTCACCTCGCTTCAGGTGGCCGTCAACGCTTGGTCCTGCTCCGCCAAGGTTATAATCGTCTGGGCGCTCGTCAAGCACTTCGATGAGGCCAACAAAGTTTTGGATGAAATGGACAAGCGTCTCACCCAACCTAGCGAACGGCTCCAAGTCCATCGCGCCGTCACCTGGAGCAACCGTATCTTCTTCTTCTTCATGACAGTCTACATGGTGTATGCCACCAGCACGTTGATCACAGCGATCCTGATAGGGAAACCGCCATACCAGATCTACTATCCGTACCTGGACTGGCGCTCCAGCTCCTGGCAGCTAGGCCTGCAGACGGGCCTGGAGTACTTTGGCATGATCGGTTCCTGTTTTCAGGACGCGTCTGTGGACTGCTATCCCGTGAACTTTATCATAGTGCTCCGTGCCCATATGTCCATCTTTGCGGACCGGCTGAGGCAGTTGGGCAAGGATCCTGATGAGAGCCACGAGCAGCGCTACGAGAAACTAGTTCAGTGCATTCAGGACCACAAGACCATACTTCGGTGGGTTGAAAGCATCCACTAATTTATAAGATTTTTCTTAAATTTAATCTATTGATCCCTTGCAGCTTTGTCGATTGTTTGCGTCCCGTGATTTCGGGCACCATTTTTGTGCAGTTCCTGGTGGTGGGCCTGGTCCTTGGTTTCACGCTCATCAACATTGTGATGTTTGCCAATCTGGGATCGGCCATTGCCGCTCTGTTCTTTATGACCGCCGTTCTGCTGGAGACCACTCCGTTCTGCATTCTCTGCAACTATCTCACAGACGACTGCTACAAACTGGCAGACGCTCTTTTCCAGTCAAACTGGATCGATTGTGAGCAGCGCTACAAAAAGACGCTCATGTACTTCTTACAGAAGCTCCAGCAGCCCATCATTTTCATGGCCATGAATGCTTTTCCCATTTCCGTGGGCACCAACATTACTGTGAGTATCCATAACGAATTTTCTGGCGACTTTAAGTGCTCTTACAAAGGGGCTTCCATGTAGGTCACCAAGTTTTCGTTCTCGGTCTTTACTCTGGTCAAGCAAATGAATATTGCAGAGAAACTCTCCAAGGAAGACAAATTAAATTAACAAGTGAGCTTTAAGTTCGATTACTTCTCTAAAAAAATACTTTTGCCTTTTTTGTTTAAACTACTTGTTCAAAGCATGAAGCAAACGCAGATTAGCAGTCATTTGACGTTTTATTGAAGGTTTTTTCAGCAACTTGTGTAATTGCTAATGTTAATGTAATTGTTAGAAATTTGAGAAAAGAAAACGCCCGTAGAAAATTTAAATTTCAATTGCAACGAGACTGCTGCGGTAGCTGTGAAACAATATAAATGATATTCTAGCCGACACTGCAAGAGTAAGAAGTCCAGGCACTACAATAAATATTTCATGAGAAAGATAATCTTCTTACCTAACAAATCAAAATTATAAAAATGGAAATACATATTTATTTGGGACATTTATAAGTATTTGGAATATTAAAGATTTTTTATAGATACGATATTTATATATAGGGCAAATGTAAATCAAAACGGCTATGACTTGATGATTACGCGGCATTCCTCGACACTGGTTACCTCAAATTTTCTAAACCTGCTCTTAAAATCAACTCTTATTCCAAATTTCAGCACTCATATTCCACCTCAATTCGTAGTCGTCGTGGTTAATTGGATTGTGGGGCACAGTTTGACAAAATTTGACAGCGCGTACATGTCTTATAACAATTAATTATATTAAAATATAAGCAACGAAAAATGCACATATAAATCTTTAGTATGAAGACTACTTTGTACTTTGCTCTTTTCTAATTAAAAATAAAAAAAAGATGAGATATTTGTATGACAGCCTTTAGGCTGAAGCGTGGCTATGTGGCATAGTATGTGCAAAATATGTATGTATGTATGTACATTGTACATGTATGTGTCTCCTGTCATTGAGATTTGATTACCATGACGGTGCTAAGGTAATCCTAATTGAAAACTGCACTTTGACGGCGCCCATTTGCAAATGAAATTTTACCTATTAGCCCCTTGCTCTGTGAACTGCTGCAGCCTGCTGCTCTTCTACGAAAACAGGGCCAACATCATTTATTTATATGCAAGTGTAAACTTTTACACTTCTCTGGAGCGTTACGTGCTAAGCGCCATCGCCATCGCCGTAACCTATCGGGCATTCGGCTTGGATGAGGACGCTGCCAAACTGAAGCCTTTGGGCGTTCAGGGTGCCGAGAGTTCGGTGCAGGGGTTCCTATTCGAGGTGCTGAACAACTTTTACCCGAACCCTAATTGAATTCGGTTGACTAGTTTGGAAGTGTCGCTCATGAATTTTTCATGGCCAGCGACTTAATCACGCCATGGTCGGACGTATAAAAGGCTTCAATCCAGTTTCAAAAATCGACACTCAACTGGAGTCAGGATGGTACTGCGTAAAGTCTTCCCGGCCATGTTCACGCCATCGGAGGAGGCACCGGCCTGCTCTCGGAATGCGACCCTCTACTTGCTGCGCTGCATCTTCCTAATGGGGGTGCGGAAGCCACCGGCTCGATTCTTCATTGCCTACTGTCTCTGGTCGTTTGCCCTGAACCTCAGCTCAACGTTCTACCAGCCCATCGGCTTTCTCACCGGCTACATCAGCCATTTGTCTGAGTTCTCTCCGGGGGAGTTCCTCACCTCGCTTCAGGTGGCCTTCAACGCTTGGTCCTGCTCCACGAAGGTTATAATCGTCTGGGCGCTCGTCAAGCACTTCGACGAGGCCAACAAAGTTTTGGACGAAATGGACCAGCGTCTCACCCGACCCAGCGAACGGCTCCAAGTCCATCGCGCCGTCTCCAGGAGCAACCGCATCTTCTTCTTCTTCATGACAGTCTACATGGTGTATGCCACCAACACGCTGATCACTGCGATCCTGATGGGGCGGCCGCCATATCAAAACTACTATCCGTACCTGGACTGGCGCTCCAGCTCCTGGCAGCTAGGCCTGCAGACGGGCCTGGAGTACTTTGCCATGGTCGGTGCCTGCTTTCAGGACGTCTGTGTGGACTGCTATCCCGTGAACTTTATCCTAGTGCTCCGTGCCCATATGTCCATCTTTGCGGACCGGCTGAGGCAGTTGGGCAAGGATCCTGATGAGAGCGACGAGCAGCGCTACGAGAAACTAGTTCAGTGCATTCGGGACCACAAGACCATACTTCGGTGGGTTGAAAGCATCCACTAATTTATAAGATTTTTCTTAAATTTAATCTATTGATCCCTTGCAGCTTTGTCGATTGTTTGCGTCCCGTGATTTCAGGCACCATTTTTGTGCAGTTCCTGGTGGTGGGCCTGGTCCTTGGTTTCACGCTCATCAACATTGTGATGTTTGCCAATCTGGGATCGGCCATTGCCGCTCTGTCCTTCATGGCCGCCGTTCTGCTGGAGACCACTCCGTTCTGCATTCTCTGCAACTATCTCACAGACGACTGCTACAAACTGGCAGATGCTCTTTTCCAGTCAAACTGGATCGATTGTGAGCAGCGCTACAAAAAGACGCTCATGTACTTCCTTCAGAATGTCCAGCAGCCCATCACTTTTATGGCCATGAACGTGTTTCCCATCTCTGTGGGCACCAACATCAGTGTGAGCATCATTCCCGATTGTACTGGTGACTGTGCGAAACTAATGCTTTTCCTTGCAGGTCACCAAGTTTTCATTCTCTGTCTTTACTCTGGTTAAGCAAATGAATATTGCAGAGAAACTTGCCAAGGTCGATAAGCAAGACGATTTAAATTGACTGGATTTTTTCTTTCAATTGGATAAATGTAGACATTCCCTTAAAAAGGTTCTTAGCCCCAGTAACTTGTAGCTAGGCTTGTATGATCCGATATGGAGTGCTGACATCGTTGCATAACCGGTACTCAGTCAATAGAATAAATATGTGAGCTCATGATCTATGAACCTTAAATCATATATTTTATATGTAATTAGACGTAAGCGCTGGAGCTGGGATCGAGCTGGTTAATGGGGTAGTAGGGGAAAGGATCTCTGCACTATCTTATTTAATATTGTTCGCACTTGCCATGAGACATGGGAAAAACATAGAGGAACCACGATAGCTACCACTATGCAGATCTAAAGTTCATTTTTGAACTTTGTTGATCCCGTTCCCCCTATTGTTTGATTAGAAATTTTAAATATTTTTCTGTTTGAATTTTCTGCTACATCTCGCTACATCGCTTCTCGCTTCGCTCACTACACGAGACAGAGTGGTGCGAGAGAGAGAGAATGAATGTGAGTGGAAAGGAAAACAATGTTTTTTTCATTCTGGCTGTAATAATTGTTCATCTGGTTATACTGGTCTGAATTAATTCTTTTGGTTTGTTCGGTAGTTAATCGGCTCAAGGATTTTTATTATTACGGTGGTCAGTTGCTGCCTACCGGAGCTGCTCAATCCTTGCGAACGGCAGAGGATACAAATTGCGACTGAAAGTGGATTTACTCATTATACAATACAAAACGAACGGTGGGTTTCAATTCGACTTTGGTAATCAAAGACCAATTACACAGCAGCCCAGAGGCATCTTCAAAGAATAAGATTCTTGAGGCATACCAACACAGAATCATTCTTGATGATAAGAAGGCTGTGAAATGAACGACTTTATTGTGTCATTCGAATTTCTGTCCTTCATGGAATAACCTTTTGAAAAGAAAATTAGTGTACCAAATTTTTTTTTTTGTTGCTTGTAATTGAGAGAAATTAGCCTTAAGCCGCGCACTCAACAAAGTTAGTTGGATTTTTCTTACACAAATCTCTAATCGGATTGTCCAATTTTTATTCAGCCCGCCTACCAAGCACGCCATGCTCCAGCGACGTTTTCGTTTGCTGTTTGTGTCACTGAATATGATACTGATGGGAGGCTTAGCCCTTGCCTATGCGTACAGTTGGCAAAATGCTTTTAAGCTGTACTTCTCATCGAAGGTGGCAGATGTTGCACTGTTGCCACAGTCGGTAGAGACATCTGCAGATCTGCTGGCCAGCATCCGCCTAGACGATGTGCTACTGGCGGAGCCCAGGCCAACACCCGGACGGAGCATATTCTTTCACGAAACCAGCTGCTATGATGCCAGAAATGAAGAGAATTATATCCTGAAGCTAAATGCCCGTCAAGCTTGCGCAATCGAATCGGCTGCACTCCACAATCCGAATTTTCAGGTGTTTGTTTTGTTTGCCGACCCCGATGGTCCCGTCGGACAGTATAACGGCATCCAGCAGCCACTTGTCGATGCCCTTTTAAACTATAGCAATGTCCATTTGCGGCGTCTAAATGTCTGGAGATACGCAGCCGGCACACCCATCGAAGAATGGCTCAACGCCGGTAAACTATTTGGCTCGCGGTAATTTAGAACTCTGAGATGTGCCTACAACCCGTCAATAGCATTTTGATATTTTGCAGGTTTATGGTCGTTCATATTGCCGATTTCCTGCGGTATTTGACCCTGTTTCGCTATGGCGGCCTCTATCTGGACTTGGATGTGGTTGTGCTGCAAAATATGGAGGACATGCCACCCAATTACGCAGGGGCCGAGTCCAATCTATGGCTGGCCAATGGCGTCATGAGATTTTCACACAATGGCAGTGGTCATGATATGGTCAGGGCATGTCTGCGCGACTTTGAGCTACATTTCAATGGCTATGAATGGGGTACCAATGGTCCCGGTGTGATAACACGCGTGGCCAAACAGATCTGCGGCACTAACCACACCGCATTGATGCAGGATGATCGCGAACGCTGCAAAGGCTTCAAGGTGTATGGAAAAGGCGCCTTCTACGCTGTGGCTGCTGAAAACTGGCGTGACTTCTTCGAGCCGGACAAACTGGAGCAGACAATGGCTCTCACAAAATACTCGTATCTGGTGCATCTGTGGAACAGAAACTCAAAGGTGGTACCGATCAAGGTTGGTTCCAAATGCGCCTATGCCAAATATGCCGAAAAACATTGCCCGCTTGTCTATCATGCGACGGGAGAATACTTCTAGATAAATTATCTTCAGGGCTATATTTATTTAAACATGACGCGGGTCTAGAATCTAGGTCATACAAAGGGTTTCGAATCAGTTTTACAGACGCTCTCGCGTATGCGTTCAGCGGCAGCCTGTCGAAAATCTATTTACCGAAATTGGGGGCTGGGGAACGAATTTGGGGGAACGACTTAAGAAGAGGAAGTGCAGACTAGAAAAGGCACATTCAATTTTTAGATTTGTACGCTCATTTAATTCAAATAAAAGAGAGTTCCCGCCCAATAAATTTTGAGCGTAGCGCGCGTGCGATGTACCATCTGGATTAGGTGGAAGGTTTGGTTGGTTGAGCGTTACATCTGCTTTGATACAAAGTATACCTTCCTAGTTTTGTGTGAAGCGTGCCATAACCTCTGCAAATAGGTATTTTCAATTCTCGTCTCCCCTTCCGTATCATCCTCTGTCTCTCGCAGTGATTATGCAGCATTAAGATTCTCGGAGTGTACCTTAACTTTGGCGACATTTGTCGCCACCCAATTAGGATCCCGACGCTGGTCTAAGTCGACCCTGAAGGAAAAAAACGCCAGCCGACCACGAACATTTTATTTTTACCTATTGCCCCTTTAGCAGTAGCCTAATTCTTGAACCCAAGGGACCATTCTATTGCAGAAATAAATTTCGGTGCACCTTAGACACTGGCCAGAAAGTATTGTAGAGCTCATATCTCATGTACAACATTAAACAGCAGCCTAAGGCTTTGATTATTTGATTTATTAGCCGATTAAAGGTAAATTTTCATTGAAATTGGCACTACACTTTGACATTTTCTACTATAAATAATGCTGCAATAGACTCCACATCGATGCGTTCGCGTTGAATATGCGATATTTTAAAACTGGTTCCAGCTAAAAGAGAATTTTGTTTAAAAAAAAACTTCAATTGGAACACTTGGGAAAAGAATCCTTTGCACAGAGAGTTGGGCAGGCGACATTGATACTGGTCAAAGCAAAGTAGAGTGGGAGTTGCGGAGATTAAATTAAAAGTTTATATTATTTATAAAAAAAATCAATGGGGGGATTCATGGGAAAGGTAAGAAACAAGAAAGTAAATATAAATACTTACGTAGGAGTGTTCGTTCATTCTTCCTTAAACTTGTCCGCTATGTTCATTTGCTTGGTGATGGTGATGACGGAGAAGGCAAACTTGGCCACCTGAAAGTGGGGCAAAGCATAAGAAACTTGGAACAGATTTAATTGTTTGCCTGGGGGTCTGGGGGAAATATAAAAAGTGCCCCCTCAATCGGCACTTACGCTGATGTTGCTGCTCATCGATATCTGAAAGATGCCGCCGGCAATGAAGATGATGGGCCGCTGCACATTCTGCAGGAAATAGAGGAGCGTCATCTTGTAGCGGCGACTGGCATCCACCCACTTAGACTGAAAGATGGCATGGGTCAGGTCATCGCAGTCCTCCATGATGAGGTTGCAGGTGTAGCAGAAGGGGAACGTCTGCAGCAGAATGGTGATGACAAACATGAAGGAGGCGATGCCGGTCCACAGGTCCGAGAAGAAGAACACGTTGATCAGCGTCAGACCCAGTACAATGCCGCACAGCAGGAACTGGGTGAAAATGGTCCCCGAAATAACGGGCTTGATGGTATCACAGAATCTGATGAGGTGGACAAGAGCTTATCGCACTGATTTCACTTGGAACACAAAAACACGCTTGCTCACTTTAGAATAATTTTGTGATCCAGGACGCAATTGACCAGCTCCTCGTAGTTGTCGGCCTCGCTCATGGTCTCGTCGGTGCGCAGCCGTCGGATGCGCTCCTTCAGCATGTCGAGGTGCACGCGCAGGATGAGGGTGTAGACCAGTGGGTAGGTGTCGGAGAGCTGATCCTGCAGCACGGCCCCCGACATCACGATGTACTCGAGGGTGGAGGCTAGCCACAGATTACCCGTGCCATCGCGCCAGTCAATGTAGGGGTTGTAGAGCTGCCAGGGTGGTCGCCCGGTCAGCACCGAACTGAGAAAGGTGGATCCCGCGTAGGTGCAGTAGACAAAGGTGAAGATGAGGAAGGCGTGGTTGCTGCGCGCCACCACGAGATGAATTTTCTCGCGCTCCTCGGTGGTGGTGCAGCGCAGATCCAGTTTGTCCAGCAGATCCTTGGCCTTGATGAGCCGCCACAGCTGCGAGTAGGTGATGGCCGTCTTCACCGAGGAGCCATACGCGTTGAAGCACACCTGCAGCGAGGTGAGGAACTCGCCCGGCGAGAACGACTTGATCTGGGTCATGTAGCTGCCCAGGAACCCCAGAGGCAGGTATGTGGTGCACCACACAAGCGTCATCAACGTCCAGAAGAGATAGACGTAGCGCAGTATTCCATTCTTGGGCGGCACCCAGCCTATGAATTTCATTGCCCTGAACAGGTAAATGCAGCCATCCCGAGATTTCACCTGCTCCGTCAGCGGAGCTGGTCGTATTAGTTTGAAGACCATCCTGGGGCCAGTGTGTGCCGCGGCTCCCTGCAGGGTTACTTATATAGTCGAATTTTTGACATTTTCCTAGATGAAGTTTTCAATGAATTCGAAAAGTTTTTATTAAGTTTCAGGCACTTGCTGTTGTTTAATTATTCACTTGAGAATTGCTCGTTGTGCGCCGTTATGTTTAATTAACAAAGTCAAGAGTCTCGGACAGACATTTTGAGAGTTTTCGTTTCAGTTCTGATACATGGGGTTACCAGCACTCGACTCGTATCAACCTGCATCAGTATTTCCACATGCTGGCTTTCCGCTTTGCATAAATGATGGGAAAAGTTGGCAAAAATCGCAGACGGCCCTTTAAAGGCAATTAAGGAACATTGCTCATACGCAGTGTGTTCGCTTGTTCTCCGTTGTTCGTTCGTTCGTTCGTTCGTTTGTAGTTTTGTGTGTCAGCAAGGACCGGAAAGCACTCAGGCGAACCGAACCGAACCGAACCGACTGGGGGTTATCATGAAAGGGATCTGGCCAAACTTTTTCAAGGTTGCCTTCTGGGCTCAGGGGGGAATGTAAAATGGCCGCTAATCGCCATTATAACTACATTTATAATTCCCCCTTGTCTGAGTCAACCTGTGTACTATATGTGTGGGGGTCCTTTGCATTATCGGGCTTTAAGGAAAAGCCCCAACAGCTGGCACACGTTGTGTGTACGAGTATCTTGACAAGTCTTTGCTGCTGCTTTAATGAAAAATATGTTCTCCGAGTGTTATTAATATTGCTCAGGATGTCTGGCGTTTGACACATGTTTTGTTGTCGCTGTCGCTTTTGTTGTACATACGTACCTCTCTGTCTGTCCTCTCTGTACCTCTAGTGTTTCCTTTGGCCCTGGCTCCACCGCCAGTTCCATCTCCTTCTCCTTCTCCAGCTCCATCTTTATCTTCGTCTTCTGTTCTGGCGATGCCACTGTAACTGGCACTGGCACTGGCTCCTTATATGTTCGTATAAGTTGACATTTTTTTTCATTACTGCAACGTTTCAATAGCAGGGCCATCCATAGCCGCAACCCCACCCACAGGCGCCTCTATACTATCCACAATGAAGCCTGCCAAGCAGCTGCTGCTCATGCTGCTCCTGCTGCCCCTCCTGTTGTTGCCGAGTGTGTCCGAGGCAGGTTTGTATAGCTGAGCGTGAAGTAAGGGCAAGGATAATCTTTTGTTTGCCACTGTACGACTCTCACACTCGAGTACGTATGCTCTGGAAGGGCGGCGCTCCCCCAATGTCACTTGCCGCCCTCTATTCCTGCCCGGTGGCTGGGCGTATGCCGAAAGAAATTTGTGTTTTGCTTCAGTTATTTGCACAAAACCCTCTCCTCCTGCACAGCCCCCAGAGCTCATCCCTGTCAAGGTGAGACTGTACATCGCACGCTTGACAGTACCGGCTTACGTGCTGACATGTTATAGAATTTGAATAGAATTTATGCTCTGCAATAACGCACGAGTAGATGTGGAACAGGAGATGGTGCAGGAGAATGCCCAGGGCAGCATCCCGGGAATCGCCAATCTGTTGGCTGTCCGAAATGGGTGTCAGAATTGATGTTGACTTGAGGCAAATCAATTATCCCAGTAATTGCAGAGCATTGAGGAGACAACTACTTTTAATGTTCACACGGAGGTACGCGTATATACGTATGTATTTATTTATATATGTACATGTACTGAGTAGTAGGCACCTAATTGGAGGTGGCGTGTGTCTTTTGGATAGCTTTTGGGTGTGATTCGGTTGGGTCTCTTCGCATTTATTTAATACCAGCGTCGTGTTATTTATTATCGCTTGACGAATTTATTTTAATTAACGGAAATTAATGCCACGTTGCGTTGCCAGCTTGCAGTCGCTTACACACATTTTCGGGCTGTTCACTCGGCAGCTCGACAGCTCGGCAGCTCGGCAAATAACTGACACACCTGACACACCCATACGCTCTCGCAGTCGCACATGAAAGCACATGACGCAGCCTTTTGGAGAGGGATGTCAGTCTTTGCTCGAGTACATATGCTCAAAGGGATTCATTTATACGAGTATGGCAGTACGATATTTATGTACTCGCACAAAGACAGAGCCTAGTGGCAATCTGCCTTTGATATGCTACAAATTAATGGAGTTAACTTCAAGTGTGCAACGTCCATTATCCCAGAGATAATTGAATATGAAACCATACTTAGTGCCAGTTAGGCAATCATTCAGTCTATCGATTTGCTGAACTGTGAACATATCAAAATAATTCTCATTATACGACCAGAGAAAGCCAAATAGAAAATAGATTAAATTTGATTCAAATTATTTACCAATGGCAAATTTGTTTCGATGAAAGCTTAATTGTGTTGCAATTAAAATCCAAAATCTCAGTTTAAGCAATCAATTAAATCATTGAGTTTGTATTTAAGGATTCTAATGCCATTTCTTATCATTTGTTTCAGTCGAAAAGCTTTACAAAAATTAGATTAATTTATGAACGTGTTTTTTGGAAAATCCCTTGTAAAATGAGCAAGCAATAAAAATATAACAAACGCTGCACAAAGAGGTTTGGATAATTATGCAGCCAAGCATTAAATTAATTCTTGTAATATTATTATTTTACTCTGCGCTGTTGCCAAGCCAAGAGAATGCATTTTGATGAGTTACTTTTACTGTTTTCAAGGGGTGGGCCGAGTCGGGACGGGGCGGGTACGGCGAATGAAATTATAATAAAAAGAATTCCCCAGCCGGCAGCAGCAACAGTGGCAGAGAGCGACCCTCACCTACACTTACAGACACAAATATACACATGTCCATATATGTGTTTACACGCATACACACACTCATACATGGGAGTGCAGACCAGGGTCGTAAATGCCATTATTATTTTGTAAACATTGCGACGGAGGAGTGCCCCAAATTGTTAGTCCACAAGGTCGTGGAAATACACAAAAAAAAAGAAGAAAAAAAATAGAAAAACATTCGCGTACCCCCGAAAAAAAAAACAAAAGAGAATGCTAAATGATCATCTGTACGGACGATGGGATACCCGGTTTTGAGAAGAGCTCATACGAGTAATTGTACATTCAGAGTCAGCAGAAGTCTGCTGTAGCTGAATGTCTAAACCAGAACTGACATTCTGGTACAGGTTGCGTTGCGTTGATTGATAGCCCACACTTCTGGCTATTAACGTTCACCGATCGCGGTAGATAGAAGTAACTTTAAATACATAAGTACATACAATTGTATGCATATACTTTATAGATTTCCATATTGTTTTGTTTTAGCTGTTGCATATATTCGCACTTGTACAACATGCCCTCATACTATGTGAATGGCTGGGGCAGCTACGGAACTAGCATAGACACCCACGCGGGCACACACACACACAGAACACACACACACACACATGTATGCAAATACAAATAAACAAGCTTGACACTATGTTGCAGCAACACACAAACTTTTAATTAATTTCTATCTGTGTGACCCGTGAGTATACGGATGGGGGTATACATGCACATGTGTACGTGTACATCTATCTCGCTGTAGGATACTCGCATTTCAGTCAAAAGGGGCGCACAAACACACACAAACAAATAAGAACAACATGAAAATTTATTGTCGCTGTGGTGCCAAAAATGGCTTGACCCAAATGTAATCAGGTAATTTGTTTTGTACTGTCAATATTTGCCCGGTTGCCACGCATATTTGAACTTCATAACGATTTGGTGAGTTATTACACACTCGGAATAGAACAAAACGAACCAAGAACGAACTGAACAGAGCCGAACTGAATTGCCATAGAAGCGTTTACAACGCACGCGAAAACAAATACTGAGAGACATTGATTTGCCCTGGGACGCGCCTTGATTATTTGCTCTTTAAATATTGCATGCTCCGTCAGCCCAGACGTTAAGTTTGCCCAGACATGGGCCCCAGTCCCGGTACCGGTGCCGAGACCGGGGTCTCAGCCCCACTCATGTAGCCTGTCAGCCAGTCGCCCGTCGCCAGTCAGCATTTCGACTATCTGACTGTCTGACAGGCCTTGGCTGCCTGCCTGGCATACATACGAGCACTACGAGCATAGCAAGAGAAAGTAGTACAAAAGAGCAACAACCGAAATTGATTTAATAGCCCCACATACCTACACTTGTACATGTGTCGATATATGGATGTATACAGACGCTTTCATTTGGACACAGCCAATATGATGCCAATTGTAGGTTCGTTGCATTAATTTTTGGTTCTATCCGCATCACTTTAACCTTTTAACTTTTCTATTTTAAAAGCGATTAAGCCTTGTCCAACACAATGCATAATTAACTGCGTGTTTTCTCATTTGGCCCACGTGTAGAGATGTCTTGGGTTGCGAGAGAAGTTTATTTCCTTTAAATATTTCAACGTTTTCTCATTGTCCTGCCGCTTGGTTCAGTGCGAAGGACCTCAGGTCGCTTTCAATTCAATTACGACTAAAATAAAATGTTTACCCATTTGATATATGCCCCATCCCTGCCCTGGGGCACACAGTTCGTTTCCTTTTCCCAGTGCCAACAAATTCCTTTTTTATTGCCCCTTGCTTGTTTTTTTTTTTTCTGGCAGCAAAAAGTAGGCAACATTTTTCATTCGAAGGAAAAACTACATTCAGTGACAACAAAACATTACACTGATAGTGCTCCACCGTGATGGGTGCGGGTGTGTGTGAGGGTGAGGGTGCTTCGAAAGGCGGCAGGCTGGAGAACGAGCAGGAAGGCGTGGCAGACACGAAATCATTTCGAACGTGGCTGGCGACAAAAGCTGAACGAGGTCAAAGTGTATGGAATCGAGCATATTGACCATTGACTGAATGGTCGGTCAGCATGCGATCCAAAACAAAAAAAACAAAAAACAAAACAAAAACGAACGGGAAACAGCGACATTTCGACCATCAGATACTCTCTGGCTGTGTTAGTTATTCAGTTTGTATTAATTTTAGTTCATCCGTAGACAGAATTGACCAGGAGATCCACTTATATGTCCAGAAATGCTGCCTTTCCTGTGTGGTAAGCATGTGGCCACCCTTTGTAAGGGCATAAAAACTCTTAGCGCTATGTCGCCATGCTTATGTGGTACAGATGTTCAGAGAACTGCAGGAGGTGTGTGGCCGTTTGCCTGTAATAATTCAATTTCAATACATTCAAATTGCTGAAAACATTCCGGGCCATAATTATCTCTCGCAGCCACTGCTGGCCCCTTAATTACTTGCCCGACTATCGATGGAAGTTTATACAATTTGCGACCTTCCTCAATTCTCAATTCTTTTGCAATCGCCGCAGCTTCCTTTTTACGACCAGCGTCATCGTCCGGCTCGTCCTGCTCCCTCCGCCAAAGCGCTCATGCAAAAGCAATTTCCTGAACTTTTTGCCCGACCACAAGCACAGGCACACTCGGGCACACACACACACAGTTACCCGCTGAGTCGCACACACAGATTAAGTCGGCGACCCCACTCGAAACGCATTGGCCAACTTGGATGCCTCAGCACTCGAAAACCAATACGAATGCGATTATGCCTCAGTTGGAAAAGTGTATGTGTGTGCCTTGGTGAGCTTGCGCTCTCACATGGATACAGCACACACACACATACACGCTCACTTACAAATTGCGCGCTGTAAGTAAGAAATCATTGAGGTTGGTCGGCACACTAATGGAAAACGACAAGCGGCATGTGGGCAAACGTTTTTCCGTCCATCTGCCCCTGCCCCTGGCCACAGTCACTATCAGCCCTACCTCTCTCCGCGCGGAAAGGTTTGTTTCCCTTAGTCTCCTCTAGCCAGATCCGTGCACGTCGCCGGATGTCGGCTAGCGATAGTTGTCGTTGTCAGCCCTGTGGGATGTGCCCTGCGGTCGGAGTTTACTTCACGTTTGGGCTGGGTTACCGCAAAAGTTTAGTTGCAACTTGCAGCAGCCTTCGCCTTCCCTGCCTCCGGTGGATAGTGCTACTCGGCCAGCTCTCCATCAGTCCATCAGTATGTCCGACTGCCAGTTGCATTGCCGGATCAATTTGTTTGCCACTGATTCGCAGACACGTCCTCTCCCCGATGGCGCTTTTATCTGTGAATTGTGAGTGCAGTGTGTCATTAGGTGCCCCTTATATTCTATGAGGAGCCTCTACCCCGTTTCTTGGATAGGCAACAGGAGTGGCAGTTCCAAAGGCAAAGGTAGAGGGAGCCAGAGCCAAAGCCAAAACCACAGCCACAGCCAAAGGCACGTGACATTAGCAGAGTAAATTCCACTTAGAAATGTGACACAATTCGGGCATCTTTCAGCTAAGTGAATTTGAATGCCAACGAGCTGAAGAGAGCCAAAGAGAGCCAAAGACAGACAAAGAGTCCTTGGAAGGACTCTCTTAAACAGCCTGCGCGCTGGAAGTGGGGGCCAACAGCCATCAGCTGTCAGTGGTAGTTGCATCGCGAAGTGAAAACGAAATCGAAGGCGGACGGGCGCGCTCGTGTAACTGACCTAAAAGCTTCCGCAGAGCTTTCGCTCACCGCGGCACAGCGCATGCCTGGCGCTGGCCCGAAATTGGACTGCTGCCTGGTCTGGTCTGCCTCACGGGGCTCGTCGTTGTCGCCGTCGTTGTCCTTTCAGTTCACTTCGTATACTCGTTGAAAGCTGTGCACGCTGCGGAAGCTAAAGCATCGCCCCTGTGCCACACGGATGCCCATACAGTAGTAGGCAGTAGAAGCAACAGCAGCAACAACGAGAACACCAAACGAAAAAACAAAAGGAAACCTTTTAACACAACAATAACAAGGCCGAATCGGTGTGAGAGGACGAGGTTAAGCCCTGCCGGCGGCAAAAGTGCGTTTGGAATTTTTTGAAGATAAAAAAGTTCGGAGGAAGTTTTGAAAGAAGTCGCTGCGTATCAAGTTCAAGACCGGCCTACAGTGCCGCCGCATGCGTTTCGTACATCGTGTCCGTACATCATTGTTTATCCTTGAGAACGCATCTGTGCGCGTGAACTTCGCTGTGTGTGTGGCAGTGCAAGAAAGCCACAAGGCGGAAAATTTGCCAACGCCTCCATGTGAGCAGGCAGTTGGCCGTCAACTGTGTGTTTGTGCGTGTGCGTGCGTGTGTGTGTGCGCGGCCTGACTGCCTTCTCCAGTGCCCCAGTGCTCCACTGCTCGACACATTGTCAGCGCAACTCTGTGAACGCAGCTGAAAAGTCAGCAGTGACAAAAAAGTGAAAGCGGAAACGGAAACGGAAACAGAAGCGCCAGAGAACCGAGTGGCGAAAGCAGAAGCAGAAGCAGAGGTGGAGGTGGAGGCAACGTTAACTGCGACAACTGTGAAATGTGCGGCTGCATTGTTGTTTTGTTAGCACTTTGACCCAAATCGCATTGCATTGCATCGCACTGAACTGCCCTGCATAGGATAGCCCAGCAAAGCAGAGCATAGCATCCCATGGCAGGTGTGTCAGTGAGCTGGATCTGAGCGCGGACTTCCATGCATGACCGATAAGCTCCGGTGTCACCAGCAAAAGAAAGTCGCGAGTGGCGTACATACATACTCGTATATATAGCAGCGTACCAGGGTCCTCCGATAACCAGAATCCGTTGGACTGCCATCCACAGTTGGCCGCCCCTCACATGTGAGTATGACACGTGCCTAATGTGACTTTCACTTTAACTTTTACCACAACACATTTTGGCCCACGCCTTCTGGCTCTTCTGGTTTGGATTATTTATGTGCGATTCGGAAGTTTTTGGCTTTGGTTTATGGCCAGCGGCAACCGCAAACTTTGCCTCTGCCAAAGATATAAACCGTCTACGCATTTATGTTTTGTTTATTAGCTTAAGAACACATCATTAATGTCGACAGGTAAATGTATACATATTTATTTGGGGTTGCATATTTCGTAAACTTAATTTGAGACAACAGATTCCTTTCAAGTTGGCCCTCGAAAGACAGAGAGCAGAGGGAAGACCAATTAAAGGTTTATATTAAAGTTTTTTGGCTTTGTTGAATTATCAAATTAACCAATTGACCATGTCGCCTGTTGCTCTGAATGGACTTTCCGTTGAAAAGCCTTTCCATATTCGGATTATGAATTATACTGAATGGAAATTTAGTAGACAAATATTAATTATTAAAGTAATATTTAATTTACACACAATTAGCTATGATCTCGTATTATGTGTGAACTGAATAGGCGAACTTGAGGATATGAGGAATAATGAGCAGTAGAAGTCACTTATTATTATTCTATATTCAGCGAGATTGGGAGAGAATAGGAGACACACTCAAATACAGATTTACCAATAATTCTTGAACGCTAAAATTATAAATATAATTGGATTTATAATTAATATTCTGAGAAATGCTATATGCTCAATTTTAATAATGCTGAAATCTCTGGCGAAGCGTGAAATGCATTTGAAGTCGGATGGAGCCTGACATCTTAGGATTTACCCATAATTAAGTTTCTTCGAGTTAATCAAAATCAGCAGCGTTTATGCTGCTGTTTAATTATGTTGTGTGGCGACGCCCCGGGCTGTTATGGCAGTTCCTGCCCCAAAGCAACCAGCCGCCAGAGCCATCTCAACATATTTAAGATTATGTACCAGGCAGCAAACATACGCACATGCTGATTTGACAGTCGGGGGTCTGTACTAATGAAATGACAAAATGAAAACATATGAAAATTGCTAAGAAAGGCGAAATATTTGTATACACAGGCAATCCCTGGGAGACGCGGCGCTAATGGGAAAAGTCGTTGTCGCGGCTACGTGCGACAGCCGGCGGCAATGCCACAGCTATGGTTTCGTTTGCGGGTCTGGCTGGGGGAGAACAGACGCGTAGGTGTGTACTTGGAAGAGGGCGGGGATGACAGGTCTGCCGCTGCCCCTTCGCTGAAAGCGACGCAGAAAGCAATTAAATGTGTTTCCGCTTCGATGTCAAAATTAATGTGAATTTGATATTAGACGACTCGCACGCACACAAACACCCAACACAACCACACACACACACGAGCAGGGGACAAAGGACAGGATGGCCAGGTGTTAGGATGCATGGGGCGTGGCTGTCCTCTATCAATGTTGGGCCACTGTCATCGTGGCATCCAGCAACAGGCGCAGGAGCGTTTCGTCACCTTGGGGGCCAGACATGCAAAGTCCCCTCGTCTGTCTGCATGTGCTTGTGTCCACGTCCTGCTCCAGCTCATGCCGATGCTCCCGACCTTCTCCGAACAAAGCCAGCCTCACCTGTATAAGGGCATATTTTATGACCCCCATTTTGACACTCGGTGCGAGATTTAATGAGTATTTCGGATGGGATGGGATGGGATGGGTCGAGTGCGTAATGTTCTGGTATATTTATCATACGCCCCATGGCTTGCCATTGCTTTTTTGGACCCAGGGCGGAGTCGAAAAGTCAACTTGTCTCGATAAACATGCCAGGGCAAATATTTAAATTGGAGCACAACTAAAAAGTAGCAGAAAAACCAGGCAGAAAGTCTTTTTCCTGGGCAGATGGTTATTCCGACATTTTGTGTTGTCTTGTTTCTAGATTTGATTTGATTTGATTGTGTGCATATGAGTAGTACATATGTAACATGTACGAGTGTACATTTGTGCATGTGTGAGTGTAGGGAATATGAAGCCAGCTTTTTGCTTGACTTTCTACTCTGGACTCTCAGTTTTTCGTCTAGTTATTTATGCAAAATATCCCCAAGCATAATAGCAAAGGCAAATAAAAAACAAACAATATTTAAATAAAGGATTACAGCCCGGAGAAGGAACAAAAACAGAAATGGGAGCATGCCCCGTTGGACGACATGTAAGTTTGCCATTTAGTTATGAGCCCCGCCACTTGGCCGTCTGCCGACTCGGGCCACTGGATCAGTGCGTAGACTGGCTGGCAGCCTGCTGGGTCTCAGTCCTCCCGTCATCCTGCCATGTCTATTTTATAGTGTCTCCGGCAAGAGAGTCTTTGTCTTGATTTTAAATTCATTTTTATTCATTAGACTCCGCAGACGATTCTCTGTGCTCTGTGCTCTAAGCTCTGTTCTCTGCTCTGTGCTTGTGGTAGGATGATGTCATGTTTACCATGTCGCGTCTGCACGCACGCTCCAGTTATGACGCTCATGTCCCACACCAGCTGCCGACATCCGGAGGAGCTTCGAATGGGATTGCATTTGCCATGAATTTCCAACACGAGCCATTTAATATTTTATTCCATCGGAGGCCTTGGCTTAGCATAATTTTAGACGCTGCCGGCCGTTCGATTTCCCATTCGTGGCCTCAAACAGGGCGCACGTTGCCAAATTTTTAATTCCCATTTATTTTTGTGACTTTTACTCGGTCCTTGCTCCCTCGTTTATCTGCGTGCCATTGTGTGCCACCCGCATTGTTCGACTCCTTGCAGATACTCGTTCATATCGGATGGCAGACTTTAGTGCTTTCCATTTGATTGGAAGTTGCACTCTATACCTTCCCCGTTCCATCGCGATGCATCGGTGGGGTTGTTGGGTAAAGTGCAAAAGTTTCCAATTGTGCAGCGAATTGCTTAAGAAATAATCAACTCTGGCCGCTCTGGAAGTCAATCAAACCAGTGGCTTACTGGGCATCAGATTACACTCCATTGTTACTATTGCTACTAGATTTATAATGGGCAGGAGAGTGTAACGCTGTCAATATCCCAATTATATCGCTTTGCCAGCGCTTTACGGACTATGCCCGTAATGAGGACTTTGCATAACCAATCTAGTCCGACCAAGACGAAAGCGGCTCGGGCTTGGGCTCTTATCTAATTGATGACTTGAAAGGAACACAAGGCCTGCTTGCCAGCAATCAATAATGATGGATGGCCCGGGCCCGGGCCCCACCTGTTTGTAGCTATCAGCTGTCCAGCCTACAGCTAGAGTTTTGTTTTCCGTTTCGATTTGCCCCATACTCGGAGCTTAATTATTGAATGTATCAGCTAATTATAGTAAGAGCGTGACTTGTGTTTTCTGCTCTCTGTCCCTTGTCCTGTGTCCTCTGATTTGTGTTTCTGTGTCATGTGCTGTTCTACCTTGAATACAAACACATTCTATTAGCCCTGAATGAATTATTAACAACTGTGTCAGGCGGTCTGCTAACGAGATGTTGGGCCTGTCTGCTCTGGCAGCTTGGTCTGGGGCCGTATGTGTATGTGTGTAATTTACGCACCGGATGGCATAGGCAACTTGGCCGGACACTTAAATTTCTGGTGCTGTGTGTGCTTAGGCCTAAGCAGAAAATCATTAGTTAAAATGCGCAAATATCTCTAACGTTTTTATTAGTCGAGCAGAAAGTAATTGCCCGCAATTAGGCCTTTAATAGTATGGCCATAGAGAGACGCTGCACTCGGTCCTAAGCACACACATACTAGCTCTCTCTCTCATTGGGGTCTGTGTGAGTGTGTGTTTAGAGAGAGAGAGAGAGTGAATCAGTTTCTGGTCTCGGCCTCATCTTATGTTGTAGATCCCATGGGGATTTACCCAAAGCGTGAATACATTTTGGTTGCTCGTTAACTAAGAATTACCCTGTGTGCCCGGTACTGTATGTGTGGGAAAGGTCTTTTTTTGTGTATTTGGTGTCCTTGCGTTTCGTTTCGGCCCTCGTTTACTTAGTATTTTTATTGAAGCCATTCTGTTGGGTTGGAAAAACAAGGGAAACAGAGAGAAACTACAAAGACAACTCAAATGTTGCCACTCTGCTCAGAGTGCGCCAAGACAAGAACCCAGAATATTGTCTTAAGTCCCCTTTCCTACTCACTGTAGTATTCTTTGAGCTTTTGTATTTTGTATTTTGTTTTCCCTTAGCTTATTTTTTGTGAATATTTTTATTGTCAATTCGTTTCTCCATCGACAATTATTTCCTTTGCTCTCGGCGCACACTTTGCATACAAAAACGTCGCGAATGTTCCTGCTCCACGCCAGCGTCTACTTATAAAGAGACGAGCTCAGGAAGGGAATAGGGAATACGTTTTCAAAATTTATTATTCCGACTGACCAAGCGCACACAAATAATGGCCAGATATATGTATCGTTTCGTTGCTGGCTTTAATTTTTGACTTTGCTGGCTGCTCGTGCATGGATTCCTGATATTTTACTCGCAGATAGATTTTTATTGACCTGCTTTGCATAAAAATCCACACAGAATAAAAATCAAAACTCGTGATGGAAAAAACTTCAAATTTTAATTTGCAATTGAAATTTATGGAGCACGCCGCGCCGAGGCTCCGCCATGGAAACATCATTCAATTAATAAAGTCAGCTTCGATGCATTTAAAGCAGCGCGCTGCATCATGCAAGCGCAGCGGCTTCATTCACTTCAAAATGTTATGCCAAGCACTTGCAGACTGGTACTGGTCGCTCTTTGTTGTGTTGGAAAGGCAACTCGTTAGCGAGTTCAAGGTCCTTGTGGGGCCCAGAGATCAAGTTGCTGGGTCGAGGAGGCAGCCCAGCAGAAATAAAAACACGTGAAGGACCGACAAACAATGGCAGGGGCAAATGAGCACACGACATGAGGACTTAAAAAGCGGAGAACAAAAGGAACATCGAGCAAATGAAATGTGCGAGATTGTACGAGTATAGGAACGAAAGGACACTTGACACAAGGCACAACT